AACAAAATAAACAAAACGAAGCATAGAAAATATCTCGTGTGGAAGCTGTGGTGTGTCACAGTGTGTCCCACAGTGTACCCCTCTGTCCACACATCTTGGAAATGTTCATTGCAATGAGTCATTGGTTGGTTCGAGCTCTCTGGATTCTGTGACACCATCAATATTGGATCGTCACTGGCATTCCTCCTGGTTATCCTGTTGTTGCCCTGTGTCGTGAGAATCCTGCAGTTTCAGATTGGCAAAACAGGCCCTTTTACGTGTCCCAACAGTGTGCAGATAACATAGATTTTGGGGTGGGTCAACTAAAGTCCCTGGATCTGGGCCAGGGTGGTAGCCTACTGATCAGCCCCCTGGCTCTCCCTTATCCTCACCACCAGGGGGAGCTCTGTAGCACAGCTCTGGCTAGGCCACCTGACAATGCCACCACAGGCAGGAGGCAGAGTCATCTTTCCTGCTCTCCTGCCCACCCACACCTCCAGAGCCAGGTCCTCTGTGCTGCCCAGTTGAGGTGCAGTGCCCACTCTCCCAAGTGCTGCAGTAGGCGTCAAGGGTCTGTGCCAGCTCTCTCTCTCTCTCTCTCTCTCTCTCTCTCTCTCTCTCTCTCTCTCTTTCTTTCTCTCTCTCTCTCCCTCAGGGCTGACTCACCAGTGCCTTCACCAACAGGGCCAGCTCCACCGTGTTGCCCAGGTGAGGTACTGGGCCTTTCAGCCTCTGAATCTTTGTTGCAGTTATGTTAGATATTTGCACACAACCCGGTGAATGTTCTAAAAGCCATGGAGCTGTATATGAAGAATGAAGCACTGTGTGTGTGTGGATCATATTACATTTAAATTTTCTTCCATTTTCCTTAACAAAAGAAGCTCAGTAGTGGAGCGCTCCATTAGCATGCACTAGGCTCTGGGTTTGATCCCTAGCACTGGAAAAAATTATAAACAGCTTATCTGTTTATATATAAATCTGCCCAGGGTAAAGCCAGGGAACCGCCACCAGGGTGTAGCAGAGCACCACGGGGATGCAGCTGCACTCTCTTGTATTTCTCCCTCCCACTTTGTCTCCCTTTCCTGTGGTCTAAGCTCTCTCTGCCTGCTCCTTCCTAGCGATGTTTGCCCACCTCCAGGCCTCTGCACTCCCTCCAGACTCCTGTGGCTGATTCCAGCATGATCTACTTAGGGAAGGCAGGCAGAAATGTGAGAACATCAGAGTTGTTGGGGAGGGGAGGGGAAGAGAGGGGAGGGACAGCGCTTTCACATTGCCTAGAAACCTAGGAAGGTTCTCAGTGAGGTGAGGCAGCTCTGTCAACTCCCACACCTATGTTTGCTCGTGTGTGTTGTGGTTGTCACCTTGGTCCCCTGAATCCTTGACAAATGAATTGATCAACACAACCTGGGAGTGTTCACCTGGGGAGCATAGTTCTGGGCATGTGCAGGTGGTCTCCTTCCCCAGGCCTTTTGTTTGAAGGGAAGGGAACGCTAAGCTTCTGTTGGCTCCTCATATTCTGCAACCCAGTGTGTGTGGAGGAGCAGACCCGACACGTCCTAACCTGTGCCGGTACTTCTGGATGTTTACTGAGCTCTTGCTGTGTTAAGTCCTGGAGTGAAATGGGGCGGGGTGGGACAGGGCGGGGCGGGGTGGGGTAGGCTTGCTCCAGTTCCACTGTAGGTAGCAAAATATGACAGTCTGAGCTCCAGTTCAGCTGCACAACTTGTGAAAGTTCCCTGAGCTCTGAATAGCATTGCTTTGGCTGAGAAAGGGAAACCTTTAGCCGCCTCCACTGGGATGGACAAGTGTGTGAAGCTCTCAGCCCAGAGGACGTGATCATGAAACAGGAAGCCAAGTGTCCTCTGCAGAATCCCTGCCAGCATTCCCCACTCACTGTCTTAAATATTCAGACACGAGGTCCCCACTCACAAGGCTAATATGTGGAAGGCCTTGGCCCCGGCCGATGCTCTATTGAAAGATGGTTGAACATCCAGGGAGATTAACCTCACCAGTAGATTAACGCATTGATGAGTTAATGCTGAAGGGCTATTAGTAGATGGCGCCAGATCAGAGGAGGTGCGTGTGTGTGTGAGTGGGTGTGTCCCTTTGAAGGGTATCTTGTCCCTGTCACCCCTTCCCTCTTTCAACTTCCTGGCCACCAAGAGATGAGCACCCATAGGCCACTTCACACTGATTGACCGTCCTTTACCAGTGAGATGCTCCTGGAGCTGAGGCTGTGGGAGAGTTGATGATAGCACAGGTTTGACCCAGTATGAGTTATTAAAATGCTCCATGCCATGCCTCAGTTTGCTCATCTGTGGAATATACTAAACAATGATACCCTCCTCCAGGGAGGTTCTTAACCCTGACAGATAATGTGTTCAGAATTCAACTTGGCATGAGACAGGACTACTACACTAAACGTGATCGTTCTAGCTATACGCCACATGGGGGATTAAAGTCCAAATCAGTGTCAGGCCTGGTGCAGGCCTGTGGTCTCAGCTGCACAAGAACCCAAGCATGGAGATGCAAGGCTTGCCTGGGCTACTGGGTAATTTAGTGAAACCCTGTCCCAAAATAAAAGATTAAAAGAGGGTTGGGGGTACTATAGGTCTGTGGTAAGACACCTGCATAGACTAGTCTAGGCTTACTCTCCATTACCAGAGAGAAAGAAAGAAGGGTGGGAAGAGAATTCAGTTAAAACTATGGTTCGACCAGCCATGCTGGCTCACACTGGCATTCAGCAAGCGTTCCGTGTCAGCCTGGGCTGCAGTTTCATAAGCTGGGCATGGCAGTGTGCACCTGTGATCCCAGAACTTGGAGACAAATCAGAAGGATCTTGAGTTTAAGGCCAGCCTGGATTACACTGGGAAACAGTCTCAAAACAACAACAACAAAACCCCAGATTTCAGCTATTCTGTTATTTCACACAGGGGGAGTGGGTACTAAATGTATGAGCTGGGACAGACAGATCCAGGCCATGGCTGCCATCACAGGGTGGGGGTTGTGTTGGTTGGCCTATAGACAGTGACGGCTCCTGCACATAAACTGCTTGGTAGACTCATGGTTCAATCAGAAGGGCTCAGAGTTCTTATGACAATACAGCTCCTGGAAGGACCGTCGCCTCTCTTCTAGAGCTTCCTACTCAGCCTCTGAGGTCCGGGGTGCCTCCCATTAGAGGGATTAGGAAGAGAATCTAGACTGGTGGGAAATGGTGGGATTAGGAGCTAATGAGAGAGCAGCTGTGGAACCCGATCTCCACAGGCCGCTAGCCTAGCGGAAGTGGGTGGCTGGAATGTGAAGTGGGGTGGGGTTGGGTGTGGAGAGTTACCTAACTGCTCCAGAGTGGTACACCAGGTGCCCCAGACAGAGGGAAATGGCCAGAGATGGCTCGTTTTCCTGTGGTCCCAACTGTATCAGGGGCATGAGTCAGGTAGGATACCAGCAAGCAGCATCTTGGGTGTCCCATATCCACCTCTGGAAAGAACCTTGAGAACATTCAGAAAACAGGTCCCGGATTGTTCCAAAACTGGACGTCTAGGTTAGAGAGAGTGAACCTGGGACAGTCTTGGGCAGAGTGCTTGGGCTAGCCTAACTACGTTAACTAAGGCTAGCTCAGGATAGTTTCTGCTAATTATCTTGAGTCAGCTTTGTTTCTTTGTTTGTTTGCTCTGAGATAGGGTCTTGCTATGTAGACCAGGCTGTCCTTGAATTTGACACCCTCCTATCTCAGCCTCCTGAGTGCTGAGGTTATAGGCACATGCTGGGTTGGAGGCTTTCATAAGACTAGTAATTGACAGTATGGTATTCCCTTACCCTCTCTGAATGGACAGGAAAGAATCCCCTAACAGTGAGCAACCCCAGGCAGTCAGTCTTTCCATCCATGTAAGGAGGCAGAGTTGGGAGCCCTCTGTTAGAAATGACAGACCCAGGAAACACCAGGCTGAAAGATTTTACAAGAGAATCCAAAGCAGGCCTGGGCCTCAGGCCCATCTGGTGTTAGACTGTGGAAATGGGATGGGTCAGAAGGTGAAGAACATAGGAACCTTCTGGGTCTCCCTAAGTACCTGCTGTGGATGACGCACCAGCTTCTTCATACCTCACTGGATGCCTCTTGCTGGTCATATATGAAAATCCCCAAAAGACATCCTTGTTCACCAGACCATGCTCCTACTCCACATAAACTCTCAGAGATACTGGGAGTTGTGTATAGCTCTCCCCATATAAGAGGCCCCATATAAAGTAGACATCAGGAGAAGGGGCCTGGCCTTTCCCGATGTTCAAGTCCATAGGACCAGCTCCTTGCAAAAGAATTTAAAAGACATCAGGAAAGGCAGCACTAGCTCTGTGGAAAAGAACAACCTTCACCAAGGACCTCTGAGTTCCAACTTCTGTCCCAGCTAGCTCTAACCTTCCTCCTCCTCCTCCTCCTTTTCCTCCTTCCCCCCTCCCCTCCTCCTTCTTCTTTTGCTCCTTTCCACAGTACCAGGAATTGAACTCAATTCTCACTGGATAGGTAGACTAGGCAAGCTCTCTCTGAACTGCATCCCATCACACAGCTTGTCTGCCTCTTGACTATGTGTGCTTGCTACAACTGAAGAACTTCTCCCAACTCCCAACACGGCTTGGGGCTGGTCAGCAGGCTAGACCTCAGACTCCCATTCTGCAGGAGCCAGCAGAGGCTTTTAGGACACCCTTCATTAGGAGGATGAGGAGACTGAAGCTTAGGGAACGCTGTACCCACCAGGAGTAGAGCTCATCCTCCATGGACTCATGGGACCCTCCCTTCTTCAGGTCAGTGATCACTGGAGGCTAGAGAGCACTGAGAGGGGCTCCCAGGAAAGCCACTTCCTCCTTTACAGCTGCCACATCTGGCAGAGGCCCTCTGGGCCTGCCATTTCCTCCAGACCTGTCCCAGAGCCAAACACGGGCCCTCACTTAATCCCAGTTATGTAATGTGCAATCTAAAGAGTTGTCCCAGGGGAGGCACCTGAGCCACACCCAGGAGCGGAGGAAAAAGGCTCCAGCTGAGTCGGGGCAGACACATAAGGCTGGGCTTCTGGTCACTCACTGCTCATCAGTCACAGTCAGCACCATGAGTGGCAGAGTTGGAGACCTGAGCCCCAAGCAGGCAGAGACCCTGGCCAAGGTAAGAGATCCCCCCACACTTCAGGGGAAAATGGCTGAGGAGGATGAGGTGGAAAGGATGGCCAGGACAATGCCTCCATCTGTTGAGTCTGCATCTCCTTCACATTGTCTTTCTGCTGTCATCTCCAAAGGGGGTCACATCCTACACAGCCAAGTGACATCAGTCCTGACAGAATGGGTGTTAAGGGGAAAGCTCCACTCTGGCAATCATGTGGGTGATATGTACAGAAGTAGGCTCGAATTCATCCAGGAGCTAGACCAGACAGCTTTACCTGGCAGTTGTCCCCACTACGTCTTCCCATCTTGCTCGCTAGGTGGGCGCTGGAAGATGCAGCCCTCTACCCTCTGATGGATTCTTCTTCCCTGGGACCCTGAAAAGAAAGCTAATCTGTAAGAGCCAGAACAGAGAAACAGAACAGAGTGTTTGGTGTACTCACAGCTGAAGGGAACAAGCTAATATGAACCCTGTCCTTCCTCCCTTTCTTTTTTCTTCTTTCCTTCCTCCCTTCCTCCCTTCCTTCCTTCCTTCCTTCCTTCCTTCCTTCCTTCCTTCCTTCCTCCCTCCCTTCCTTTCTCTCTCTCTTTCTTTCTTCTTTCTTTCTCCTTCTTTCCTTCCTTCCTTCTTTCCTTCCTTCCACTTGGAACCATGTTTTTGTAAAGAACAGGAAGATTAGCCAATGCACCAAGTGAACTAGGGAAGCACCCAGTGTCCTGTCTACTCACCCATTTATAGATTTCTCCTTCTCTCATTCATCTCTCTATTCTTCTTTTCACCTACCCATCTTTCCTTCTATCTACATCTGTCCATCTGTCCACCCATCCACCCTTTTACCCATCCATCCACCCATCTACCCACCCATACACCCATCCACCCATTCATCCATACACCCATCCACTCATCCATCCATCCACCCATCCACCCATCCACCCATCTATCCATACACCCATCCATCCACTCATTCATCTATCCATCCATCCATCCATCCATCCACCCATCCACCCATCCACCCATCCATCTACCCATCCATCCATCCATCCATCCATCCACCCATCTATCCACTCATCCATCCATCCATCCATCCATCCATCCATCCATCTGTTCATCGATTGATCAATCCTTCATTTTTCTTTCCACCCACCCAATCGTTCTCCATTCTGACTTTGCTCGAACACCATTTTCCCCCTACCCATCTGTGCCACAGCCCAGCTTTCCTATCCATCCATTATCCCATGCTTCTCTCAAGCTGGGTCAGACTGAGCGACAGAGGGAAGGAGAGGTGGTTGACAAATCTTTGAGTTGGGAGGTCGCATTAACAGGAATATCTCTTTTCAGTTCCGAGAGAATGTCCAGGATGTGCTGCCCGCCCTGCCAAACCCTGATGATTATTTTCTTCTTCGTTGGCTCCGAGGTGAGGGGAGAAGTGGAAGTGTCGAGGATGGGGGGAGAGCAAGAGGACCTGAGTCTCCACAGCTCTGTGACAATTCATGGCTCTCAGAATCTGACCATGCTAGCTTAGGTTTTACACATTCAAGTCTAAGAAAGGGGAGGAAGAAGATGAGTCCGACCAATCCCCCAGGGTTCCCCCATTGCTCTCACTAGAGGTAGTGCAAGGCAGTCTTGTCCTACCTTTACCTTCCCCCCATCTTCCTTCAGCTCGGAATTTTGACCTACAGAAGTCGGAAGCCATGCTCCGCAAGGTAAAATACCATCTTGGAGATTTGGTGACAGATTTCAAATGGGGGGAGGGGACAATCGGTGCCCCCATATCTCTACTTCCATGCCCTGTTCAGGGTGCTGGGAGGCTCATGAGGCCTAACCACTCCTTTCATTCTCAGTACATGGAGTTTCGGAAGACCATGGACATCGATCACATCCTTGATTGGCAGCCCCCAGAGGTGAGCCCCACCCTCAGACACCTCAGTCTCAATGGACAGATCACTCAAAAAGCCTCTGGTCACTGGAGACCAAGAGGGAAGGACAACAAGTGGAGATGATGCCCTTAGAAGCCATTAGCCCCATGGGGCCTTTTCTGTAAGAGTAAAGAATAATTCCTGTCTCAAGAGTTCCAGCATTGGCCTGGAGGTGGTATAAGACACCCTCAATCCAAGCACTTGGGAAGCAGAGGCAGGCAGATCTCTGAGTTCAAGGCCAGCCTGGTCTACAGAATAAATTCTAGGATAGCCTAGGCTACACAGAGAAACTCTGTCTTGATCCAACCAAAATATTTTAAAACTCCCTGCATGAGTTCATTTAATCATCTGAACATTACAAGGCAAGCATCATCATCCCTTTTGTCCAATAAAAAGAAATCTAGCAACTTGCCCCAAGTCCCACTGTTCCACGGTGGGTCTGCAGTTTGAACTTAGGCCTGTCTGGCCTCCCAAAAATGTATGTAAGCCACTATAGCCCATCAGACCCTCTGTGCTCCCACCCCAGAGTTTCAAAGCATCCTGTCCAGGTGGAAAGCAACCTCCTATCAAGGGCATACCACTGGTAAGGGTAGGACCAACACTGGAGTCACAGTAACATGATAACACCACTGTGGATCATATTGCCATCTTTGCTAGCACTGTCTTGGAGAGCAAGCATCTATGCAAGAGGAGGTGGGATAGAGCTCAGAGAGGTGGTGTCACTTGCTCAAGGACACGGAACACAGGAACAGCAGTGTGTCTATTTAAATTATATCTGCTGGCTTTCAGAATGACATTCTCCATTGCTAAACCAGACATGGAAAACATTGCAGGCAGGACCAATGTACCCCGAAGCCTGAAGCCAGGCCTGGCTGATACTGGGCCTTCTGTAGTCACACCTGTGAACAAGGCCCTCCCTCGTGAAAGACCCTTAATGTTTTCACTTGGGACCAGGCAAGCCAATGTTTTGTCCCATGGCAGGGTATATATAGACTTGGGTATGATAAGTTAGTCAGATCTGGGAACTCCCAGGGAGGTGTGTGATTCCAAGTGTCATGTATCTTTCTATACCCAGGTAATCCAGAAGTACATGCCTGGAGGCCTGTGTGGCTATGACCGTGATGGCTGCCCCGTGTGGTATGACATCATCGGGCCACTGGACCCCAAAGGGCTGCTTTTCTCAGTCACCAAGCAAGACCTGTTGAAGACCAAGATGAGGGACTGTGAACGTATCCTGCATGAGTGTGACCTGCAGACAGAGCGGGTGAGGGTCTGACTCAGTGGGGTGAGTGACTAGAGGTAGGAGAGGCTGCCAGGACCCATGGTTCCAAGAACACATCTATGTTCTCTCTACCATGGTCAGAGGGCTCTCTGGTCAAAGCCCCACCGCTTATCAGCTGTGTAACCTCGGAAAGTTCCTTCCTTCTCTGAGCCTGTTTTCTCCCCTTGGCAGGGTAGTCTGCACTGAGTAAAGAGATGACAGGATACTCCTCAGCTATTATAGGATTACATCCTAATAAACCATCCTAAGTTAAAAAAAATACCATTAGTTGAAGATATACTTAAAACACCTCACCCACTCAGCATCATAGCTTAGCCTGGCCTGCCTCAAATAGGTACAGAGTACTTTTACTAGCCTACAGTTGGACACTGGAAGACAGTACCATTGTGAATATCATTAGCCCAGAAAAAAAATTAAAATTCAACATTCAGTCTAAGAGTTTGAGTGAACATGTGTTCACTCACACCATCATAAAGCTTTTAAAAATCATTAAGTCCAGCTATTGTCAGTGAAAGGATGGGTAGGTGGATGGTGGATGGTGGATGGTGGATGGTGGATGGTGGATGGTGGATGGTGGATGGTGGATGGTGGATGGTGGATGGTGGATGGTGGGTAGGTGGATGGTGGATGGTGGATGGTGGATGGTGGGTAGGTGAATGATGGATGGTGGATGGTGGATGGTGGATGGTGGATGGTGGATG